AAGCTTATCCAACTAGTAAGTCATCACTTTTCCCATGGACCCACTCTGCCTGGGAATTGGGGTTGTTACAGCAAGTGGGAACATCGGACTTAATCTAAGTAGGCTGAGGAAGTGAGACAGTCTCACAGGTTGGAGGGACGCGCTGTGGCACATCTTCTGAACATTTCTACAATCCCATAAGTCTGAGAATCCAATGAAAGCTCTGGATCCCCTCCCCACACTTGCCCATACAATTTGGCATGTACTTTCAGAGGATATATAGCTCACCCACTGGTCCCTCTGAAAAGTCTTCCCTCTACAGCATTCGAGATGATTGATCACTTGTCCCCTACTTGAATTCCCCAAGGGAGAGAGAAGGCTCATTACTTCATAGGGTGGTCCATTCCAGCAATAAAAGTCCTGTCCCGTTCCCTCCTTCAGTCCTCCCTATGGAGAAATGTAAGACCGCTATCTCCCTTATCTGCTGGCAGTGCTTCAGATATCTGCAGGCGTGACTATAGTACACCCACAGCCTCAGCCAAGGTCAAGATCCTGCTGTTTGTTTAAACCCTTGTCCAATGCGTCTCTCTCCACTGAACACTACACACTTAGCCAAAGTCCCTCTCACAGTGCAATTCCCAGAATAGCTTAGGGACAGCTAGTGTCTTCCAATGGCAGGGTCTTTATTCAGGAGATTCTGATTTCTTATGATGAGAGCATAAGACCTCTTTGATTGCGTTGGCTCTTAAAACAGCCATATCATTATTTGGCTCATAGAAAACCCATGGTCCACTGAGACCCTGAGATCTTTATCACAGATGCTGAGTTATCTCCACTTTGTCCCGCAGTAAACTATCCTGAGTAACACTCTAGTCTCACCCTGTTCCTCCAACACAGGGTGTCTATACCGGTGCCATGCCACAACAAGTTATTTATCTCACCAGTCAAGCTGTTCTGAGATTCTCCCTTCTGTCTTCACATAATTTTCCTGTTGGGTGGAAAAAGGAAAGAGATGTGAAGCAGAAGAAGATTCTTGAGGTTTTCAAGTTGACATTCCTCCCGTAGATGAATGCTAACAAAAGCTGGATTTCACTAATCCCGAAAGGATGCACTGGCCTTGCCGGTTCACTGCCTGCACCACGAGGGCTCCTTCGCTGGCCCAGAGTGTGCTTTTTCTTTTTAAAAAGGCTTTGAAGTTGCAAAGAGCACATATTACTTCTTAAGAGAAAACGCTAAAGACGTTTTGTAAGCAGCTTTGTTCAAGTTAAGGCTAAGTAAATTAAATAGAGGAGGTGTTTTTCATAGGATAAAAGTAAAAAAAGAAGGCGGGGTGAGGGCAGCATGCATTTGTTCCTCCTTATCTCCCTGATGTGTAAGCACTGAATTGCGCCAGGGCTTAATCCTCGGATTTGGATTCTTTTCTATGTACACTGACTCCCGAGACTATCTTATCCAATCTCATAGTTTTAAACCTAACCTCACCGCTGAAGACTCTCAAATGCTTATGCCCAGCCTGGACTTCTCTCCCAGATTCCACAGTCATATACCCAACTGCCACTCAGGCCCTCCTCTTAGGTGTTTCGTGGACATCTCCAACTTTACCCAGCCAATGTCCCAATACCCGCTCTTTGCACAGTCTCCTCTGCTCCAGGAATTGCAAGTCCATCCTTCAGGTTGTCTGAGCATAAGACAAGCACACTTCGTGAGGCTCCCTTGTTTCCCACACACCCCTCAGAGACCCATCAGAAGATTCTGTTGGTTCTACCTTCAACATACATCCAGAATCTGACCAGTTCTTATCATCTCACTAGCACAACCCTGGTCTAGGCCACCATCAGTTCTTGGAGTGTCATCAATGACATCACCTCTTAACTACCCTCTGTCCCCACAAAGCAGGAAGAGTGATTCTTCTCAAACATGTTAGATCATGTCACTGTTCCACTTTAACCTTCCAGTGGCTTCTACGCACTCACTGTGAAAAGCCAGCATCTTTTCCAAGGCCTAAGAGACCCTACATGACCAGATCCTGGTCTCAGTCTCAGTGGCCTCACTGTTCCTCCAAATTCACTCCCAACTCTGTACCTTTGAGCTTACTATTCAATGCCTGGAAAACACTTTCCCAGTTGTCATCTTCTGGGCCACTCCCTCTATGTCGTTGGGTATCTTTTAAATGCTACCTTATTCAAAGATATCTTCTAGGACCACCCCATCTAAAGCATCATCCTCTCCCTTGTGAATTTCCATACGGTCTTTTCTTCTTTTCTAGCACTTATCACTATCGAATGATACATATTTGATTGTCTGTTGTCTATAGTCCGCCTCAGGCAGGAACTTTGTTTTGTGAGGTGTTACACCCTTGGTGCCTGCACAAGGGTGAACACCCAGTAAATATTTGTCTGACTGAATGAGTTTATTCAGTGCCTACTAAATGCTGTTATAATTCACATTGTACAAATGAGTTGGCTGAGGTTCAGAGATGTGATGGATGCTGAAAGCCAGATTTGAACACAGATCTCAGGACGACAACCATGTAGAAACATGTAGAAAGTTGGAAAGGGAGATGGGGTGAGAAGAAGAGGCAAAAGGACAGCAAACCACCAAGCGTCAAAGACTTACAGGATAACCCACATCAGTTATTCTCAAAACATCTTCCCCAAAGTGGATGGTCTGTATCTTCCAGCTAAGAGAATGAAGCTTAGAAAAATAAAATACTTTATCAAGCTGACACACCTGTACAGGGCAGAATACCCCAAGTCCCACGTTTCTACCCAGTTGCTGAAGCAGAATTCAGTCCTGTTTTTAAAAGTGGCACTGGGTATAGTGGTGCACGCCTGTAATCTCAGCACTTGGGAGGCTGAGGCAGGAGGATTGTTTTGAGTTTGAGACCAGCCTGGGCTACAAAATGAGATCAAGGCCAGCCTGAACTGCATAGCAAGACCCTGTCTCAAAAAGACTAAATAAGTAAATAAAATAACACTGGGAAACCATTTAAAATATTTAAAAAATAAATAAAAGTGGCTTGGTCAACTCAGTGTAATTTAAAGCCAAGTCCATAAAAAGAGATTTTTAACAAAATCAAGTAGAGGATAGAAGAAAGACAAGGATATCACTTCTGCTCCTTGACAGTAGATTACCTGACTAATTTATCTCATATGTCCAGTAAATTCATCCAATTTATGCCTTGATTCTTCAGAAAGAAGATTTTCAGCCAGACGTTCTGGGGCCATATGAGGGTAACATCAGCCAGGGTTGTGTTTTCTCTCCTTCCTCTCTTCAGAATTCTGGACCCTGTATTGTCACTTATTTATTTTTCATTCATTATGGGTTCCATATTCTGCAGCCTCTCTGCTTCTCTTATTTCAACAATGACAAAACTTCGCACAAACAGATATAGCTGAACAAATCCTCCGAACGTGGGGAAATGTCTCTGCTTCAGAATTCACAAATGCCTCATCCAAACTGTTTGTTTTTATAACTTTGAACGTTCCCATTTAAAATGTGCTAGACAACATCCTGAGCCTTCCTTTGTGATCTGTCTTCATTCTTCTGAAATAAAAGCAAATGACATCTTAAAGCATCTAAGCTTCTTTTTAGATTCTCCCAAAGCTGGTACTGAGAGGTACCAGGGACCCCCGCTTTCTCGGGTGGGAATGGCACCTGTCCTGTTTTTCTGAGTGTCGAAAGCATGCTGGGATGGCAAAACTGCAGAGAGCAGGAAGGGCCTGACGATGTGTTATCCGTTCCCGGTGCACAGGCTTCCGCGGCCATCATGGCTGTGCGCGTGAGCTGCCGTACCAGGCCCGGAGGTCAGCTACCTGTGCTTTGGACATGGATATGGGGTGTGAGGGTGGGGATTCTGCTGAGCTTAACAACAGTGTGAACCAGACAAGTATAAAAAAGATAGAGTTTGCTATTATGCAGGAGACGGCTACACGACAAGCGGTGAAGAAGTAAAATTCACCAGAATACAGAGTTCGACTTTATGCCAACTTGTGGCTGAGCTTCAAAATCATCAGGAAGCACAGAAAAAATAGCATAGGATCTCAGGGACACTGCCGAAGGGACATCCTGGAAAGGAAAGAGTGGAGTCCTGAAGGTCAGTGGAGGAGACTGGGAAGGAAGGGTTTTACTCTTCCAGAAGTCTGAAGACCCAGCACAGCCCTCAGGGAGCATGAGACAAGCTGTAGCAAATGGCCTTTGGCCAAAGCCACGATTTAATACCACAGCTCAAAATTAATCAGTGCATTCCATAAATACGTGTTTTTCTCTTTTTCCTCCTAAAGAGTCTTCTTGTGACTTGCTTTCTTTCCACCCAATCTCTTCATAGCTACCAGAAACTCACTTCTAAAATGTCCCTCATGCTTCAGCCCTCTGGCAGAGGTTACCACATGCCAGTGACCAAAAAGACTCAGCCTCTTATTTCCCCTTTCATGGCTGTGTCTTCTTCAGAGGCGCGCCCTCCATCTCTGCAAAGTCAGGAGGTTTCTCCAAAGGGCAAAGGACTCCCTACTCCCCATCTCCACTCCTAAAAGCTAAAATTTCCAGCTGCCCAGTTCCTGCTGCAAAGGTCAAGACTACTGGGGAGTGCCCTTGGTTTTGTGCCTCTCCCTCACCTTCCCAGCTTGAGCACATCTCTGGCTGTACCTCCTCATGCATCAGGAGCTTCCAGCTCAGCTCAGAGAGAATGTAAGCAGAGCAGTGCAGCCAGTGTGTACTGTAACGCTAACCTGACTTGTTCACCAGGGCAAGGCCCCATTGCTAGAAGCAAATCTACTCAGTGAAGCACAACTCAGGGACTTTAACCCACTCCTGCCAGCTTGAACCACTGGTGGTACATGCATGACTACTAGTCCCATTGGGAAGCTTGCACCACACAATGGGACTGTCACATGCCACCTGATGGTACAGTCACGTGTGTACCACTGGTTCAGAGCCACGTGGAAACAAGACATGAATGATGGCCTTGTTGTGAATGTGTTAAAACAGAGAATACTCCACGTCCCAAAATCTTTCCTTTACAGGTCCAGCCCACCCAAGGTCTTAAGCAGCCCAGCACTTGGTATTTGGAAAGTTTGCAGTGACCACTTCATCTGAACAAGCGGCATCCTCAAGTTCAGTTAAATGAAGACTGATGGGTGAGAGATTTTTTTTCTGAGTTGTAACTGCACTTAAAGGGAAAATCTCCTGATGATCTAAAATTCATATTACATTTACTTTTGCATTCAGCAAATCTCTGCAAGCAAAATTAAAACTTCATGAAATCAGAATGGTCACCACCCCCGAAAACTGATCTGTCAAGGCAGGGTAGGATCTGGATATCTTCTTGGGAAGTAATGAGTGTGTCTCAGCCTGTGGTCACCTTTGATGCATACTTTAAGTACACAGAGCCAGATTCTACTTCAGAGTGCAGGGGGGTGGGGTGGGGTGGGCGGAGCAAAGCATGAATTCCATCCTTTCTAACAAGCTTTCTTAAATAGTTGCACTGAAATTTGAGAATCACTGTCCTAACTAGCGAGAGGCAAAGAAAATTTTAAAATAAATAAAGATTCCAATGAGTTCATGTGAAATGGAAGTTTTGGAGTCCTTCGAAAGCTTGTTATTTTTCTTTAAAAATATCCCATGCTAGTAGTTGCAAAAGATTGCTAGCATTTTCTAAACAAGGAAACAAAGATAAGAACAATAATTCTTCAGAACACAAGAATAACTTATTCCAGGAAGGCGACGCCTTGCCCTTGGTACAGAGGTGAGAGGAGACTGCAGGGACAGAGACATTCAGGCTTGGCAGGTGCCCTCTCTCCTGTGAGAGCAGACTGGAGCTAAGGGAGGACTACAGCCAGTCGTCTGATTGGGCATGTGGCTGGGCGTCAGGTGTCCCAAGGGAAACCCCAGTTTTGTTGGGGTGTCTATCTTCCTCCATAGTCATATGCTACAGATACTCACACTCTCATCAGCAAGGGACAGTTCCTGCTTAATTTGTGCTAGTCACAGATCCTAGTCTCTTCCTGGCCAGTGAACAGGAGTGTCTGCTGGAGGCTTCTGGGAAATATCTCCTCCTTACAAAGGAAGGGGTATGGGAAAGGACTGTCCCTTCTTGCTCTGCACATGGTATGGTCCAACTGGATCTGCAGCAGCCATATTGCTACCAGTTTGAGACTGGGTCTGGAGCAGAACTAAGAGATAGGGCCAGGGCCCTGAATTTTGGAGCCAATCTGTCCCTGGGCTTCTAATTTTGTGAGATAACAACTGTCTCTTTATTTAGCCCACTTTGAATTAGGTTGTTTTGCATCCAAAGCATCCTAATGGCTATAGAGGACTACTTAAAACTCCCAGCCTTGTCTGATAAATAGGAAATCAGAGAAAGAAATTTTTAGAATTATAAAAGCTGACAGTAGTTTCTTCTAGGAAGAGGATGGCTTTGCAGGAGGAAAAATACTCTTAGAACTATTCAGGAAGGAAGTGGGCTTCAGAGCTCTGGGTGTCATCTGGAAAAAGAAGTGTCAGATGGGGGACTCCTCTGGACCATAAAGGAGGAAGGTGACCCTAGGTTAATCTAGAGGAAGACCTAATAGGAACAGGACAGGAAGCCAGTAAGGTAACTCGACTGTGCATGGGGGACTCCTCTTTCTCTGCCAGGTTCACAAATGCTTGCTCTGAGTGGATGTCTTTTGGCCTCCAGTGACGAGATGGATTACACACACAGGCTGACATGGGGCCTTTGAGTCAGAAAATGGTTTACACACACACGAGAGCCCACAGGAAGCAGTACATGAGAATTGATGGTGGACTTGGGCAGTGCTTGAGCCTCCCTGGACTGTGGCATTTAGAGTTGAAAACAATCTTTTCCAGAGCTCAACTATTAAAGAGGCCCCAGCTGACAAATGGGTTACAGGGGTAAACTTGTCACTCTTTGAGCGGAGGTCCAAAAACTTGAGCAAGACCTCTCCAGACTGCAGTCATCAACAGAAGTATAAAAATCCCAGAGACAATGAAGGAGAAAAAAAAAGGGGGAATCTGATCCAGTGTCCAGCATTTGATGAGTGGAGTATCCCTAACAGGTGGAGTAGCTGGAGCTACTAAACAGGAATAGGGGCACAGAGTCAGCCTGAAGGAGCCAGGAAGCATGGGAGAGTGTGGACCTGGCTGCCCCTGGCTCTGGAAGGAGCACCTGGTCATTGTCCTCCCATCCAGGGCTGCCTAGTGGGAAGCGCAGCATCTGCTGCCTTTTGTTCCTGGGATGTAACAAGGGGTCTGCTGAGGCCGTCAGACCCTGCCCACCATTCCAGATTCCTGCTGTTTCACAGAAAAACCAACAGAACTCTTAGAAATGACCCAAGAAACCTCTTCAGAGATGACGCAGAGCCCCCAAAGGGCACAAGAGCAGCTGGGACTTTCCTGTATTTCCTAAAACTGAGGCTAAGGCTATGGAAAATATGGGATACTTTGGGGAAGCAGCTCTGACCTCAGAGATCAGGCTGAAGGATGAGATTCATGATTCTTGGACTTAGTACCTGAGGAAGGGCAAACCTAGAAGGTACAAGCTAGTCAGGGCACTTGCTGGTCTGATCAAGAGCCCTGAGCGTGAGCAGAATGGAGAAAAAGCTGGAAGAAATGTACTACTAGGTAGATCCCACAACAGAACTTGCAGCTCCAGGTTCCTGGCCCCGGGCCCCAGCTCTTGCTGACTTGGGCTTCCTCGTTCTCCTGCTCACCAGCGGAGCTCCCTCACCATTCCTGGAGACCCATCTAGTGAGGGGCATGAACAATGTCACTTACCGCTTGGCCACTGCTTATGCCAGGCAGAATTCTCTGTGTGGCCTGCCACTGGGTCACACCTTCTAGGACTTGTTCAGCTAGGAAGGTTCAATCCTGGTGCCCAGGGCCCCTACTCTTCCTGTTCTAAGTAGGGGCATCCATCCGCCTGTGAACCCGACTGCCCAGCTCCTTTCTCTCCTGGACTCTTACAGCAACCTAGCTTGGCTTCCCTGGCTCCTGCCTCCATCACACTAATGCCTTTATTGCACAGAAAGCTACCTGATCAATCTTCTAAAGGCACCACTCTGACCAGCTTGTCAGTATAGTCTACCCTCCTTTAATGCCAACCTCATGGCTTACCAAATAACACCAAAATCCCTCAGAAAGACATCCAAGATTTCAAACAATCCAGACACAACCTTCTAACTTCACCTCCAAACTTTTCCCCACATGAATCCCGCTGCCATCCCATGCTCCAACCACTGCTAAATACCTGCTTGTCCACATTGCACTGCATGTTCCAACCTTTTATCTTTGCTCAGTCTGTTCTTTTCATTCCTTCTTCTCTGTACTCACTGAAATTCCATCCATTTGTCGAGAAAATATCAACTCTTCCGTGAAGTCTTTTGGATGCCTTAGTTGGAAGTAACCACTCTTTTCTCTCTGTCTCTTAGTATTTGCTTTCGTGTAACTTAATCATCCTTGTCACCCTGCCTACACTTCAGTGAATTTTCTGTCTTTTTTTTAGCCTCACTTGAATATAATTCTTTGAAATCAGGATCACATATTACTATTCATCTATAATTGCTACCATGATGTGGATAGTCAGTAAATATTGGCTGAATTTGTAATAGCTAGAAGATCAAATTAGAAAGACTATTCCACGGGGTTCACAGAAGAGAGAGCCTGACCTTGTGTCCTCCACAAAATCAGACATCCTCAAGGATGAAGCCGAGGGGGAAGTAGCAGCATTCCCAGGCCTGGTCACCTCCGAGTGTTCACTACTGATTCTCAGCTGTCCCCAGCCTCACATCTGGGGTTCCCAGGAATTTTTACAATGTCCAGAGAGAGAGAGAGCCTTGACCCGGTGAGAGCCGGAAATGACAAGTGTCCAAACTACAGGTCACCTGGGTGCCGAGATGCTGAGGCAATGAAGCCATAACATCTCAGACTCTTAATCTTCCCACTCTCAGCTCACTGTGAGAGTGGAGTCCCCCTGAACATGGCTCCTCTTGAAGCGAGGGTCAGGGAGGGTCAACCATGACATTAGGCTCCAACCAGCAGTGTCAAGATGGATTGGGTGTCAGAAGTCTTAGAAGTCATGGATGACTTCTGTTTTGCCCTGCACACAACCCAGTGTCCCTTGACTTTTTACTTTTCTAATCTCTGTGGTGTGGCATACAGAAGGGCTAGGTGTCAGCTGCTGGCTGCTGCTTCTATTCATATTTCCTTAAGAACTGTATTCCCTATAAAACAGGGAGGGTGGCAGAGGGCCCCCTGAGAGCCACCTTCCCCTACCCTACTTAGGGAAAGAATTCCCAGTGTTGTTGAATTTCCATGGGGCATGAAGCTTCCTCTGGGTGACTTGGTATTGCGGTTTGGATTTGGAAGGTGATTGGATTACAGAGGTGCTATAGCTGCCTTGCTGTCAGGAGGTAGGCTCTGGTCAAAAGAGCCAGCTCACTGTGAGTGTGATCTGGAAAGGCATATTTTCCTCCCTGCCTCCTCCCTTGTCCTTGCCTCTTGGAGCCATGATGCAAGCAACTGTCCTCTGCACCATGGCATTTCTGCATTTGAGCCAGCTAACATTGGACTGAAGCATCTGAAACCGTGAGCCAACATAAACCTGTTTTCCTTTAAGGTGCAGGTGTCAGGTATTTGGTCTCAGCGATGAGAAAGACACTTGAGCTGGAGGCAGATGAGAAGGAAGGAGCTAGAGAAAGAATCTGGCCCAGACCCCAGGTGTGCGACAGACACCTGGCTCAGGCAAGGCCTGCGGATGCTTGGGAGCCACCGTCACCATTGTTGCCACGTTAGAGGGAAAAAAGAAATCTTCTGGGTATTTGGCTCCTGCGCATGATCCTGGACCCTATGGCGTCACCCACAGACCTGCCACTACCAGTTATAACTGAAGTCCCAGCCAGCTCCAGCAAGAATAGTGCAGTTCACTAATGATGTCGAATGGCCACCACTTAATTCCACTGAAATCTCATTGGTAAGCAGGGCTTTATCAAAACTTCTGACAAATACTGATAACTGACTAGTGTGGGTTGCTTTGTGTCATCTCAAAATTCATATATGAAAGTCCTAACCTCCAGAACCCAGAATGTGACCTTATTTGGAAGCAGGGTTGTTGCAGATGTAATTAGTTAAAATGAGATCATTAGCATGGGCTCTAATCCAAGATGGCTATTATTAAAAAGGAGACTTGCACACAGATACCCACATACAGAAAGCACCTCATAAAGAGACACAGGGAAAAGGTGCCACCTACAAACCAAGGAGGGAGGGAGGTCTGGAGCAGATCCTTTCCTCGCAGCCTCAGAAGTACTCAGTCCTGGGATGCCTGGATTTCAAACTTTCAGCCTCCAGAATGAGAAAACAACAGAGACCTGTTGTTTAAGGGCACCTTGGTCACCTCACTCTGTTCTAGCAACCTTCAAGTAATCATAGATTCAACAATTCTCACTCTAGATCATATTTATTTCATTTATCCTAACAACAGCTCAATGAGTTAGGTCCTGCTATTTATCCTTCTTGTGCAGTGAGGACTCCAAGGCTCCGAAAGGCTAAGAATCTTGCCCAAGGTTGTAAGTTGCTGCACCATTATTTGAGCTACACTGCTCGATTCCAGAGTCCTTTCTTTGCTCCGTCTATTGCTGCCTGAGCAGGAGAGATGTTCTGATGAACGATGCTTCCCTGAGCGCTGGGCTCAAACGAGCTGTGCCTGACTGTCGCACTGTTCATGCGGACACACTCAACGCGCTGCTGTCAACACAAACAGGCTTACTGCTCTTGCTGCAGTGACAGCTCCCAGATGGCCCCGCAGCTCTGCAGTGGCCAACAGGCCTGTAAGGAATCGCAGTAGAATCCAGGCTGGCAGGAGGAGTCAGGAAAGAGGGCCAGGATTCACTGACCTGTAAGCAGGGTCACTTCTGCAGAGTGAGTGGCTCTGGACACCAAGGGAAGCCCATGGGGGTTCAGAGTAACCAGAAAATGGGTGAGCAATTGTGCTGAATGGTGCCCAGGGAGGAGTCAGGTTAAACAGGGAGGCATAAATGCAGGCTCTCACACCCACAGAGACCAGGGAAGCTGCAATTCAAGGACAGAGTCAGCCTGAGGCTGGCCCAAAGCTGGGGTGGGGAGAGGAGCCCCTCACAAAGACGCTGCACCAAGGTCAGAAATCGTCTCAGGGGCTGATTCCTTGGAGTCTGAGTTTGGTAGGAACAAAGCATAAAGGAGAAGATGGTTTTGTGTAACTACCAGAGAAAAAACTCCCTTTACACAAATGAGGCAAAGGGGGCAAATCTTATGCAAAGGGACGGGCCACACTGCAGACATATCGTCCACACCTTTCTATTTGGGGTTCCTCATTAAAGTCCAGTGATAACAGCTCTTGGGGAAAATGTGCCCCCTTCATTTATCTGCCCATGCCAGGCCCTTACATACCAACAGGCCCAGCAGACGTGCCTCAGCCAGTTCCTGAGGGATTCCACGCATTATCTATCAGCTTCCACCATTTCTTTCCCCAAGTTTCTGGGGTCTCAGATATGGGCTTACTGACTAAGTCATGGGGCAGTGACAGGCTTCAGGAAGCTGGTGGCAGGGACTTGCTTCCCGTCTTAGCTGTGTTCACCCATCTTCCCAATATAGCTTAATGTTTCCAAATATGCACATCTACCTTGCTTGGGACATGAGTAAGCATTTTAAGTGTCAGTTGTATATTCTAATGAATACCATTGCAAACAATTCCAGAAGAGGCAAAATTTCCAAATCCCATGTTAAGTTGGCCCTACAGTAGGAAGGACAAATATACTTCATCCAATTTCCAAATCTGATTAACTGGTAAAGGCTGCCTAGAGCTGTACGGGGAAGGATCCTGAGGAAGTAATGTCCCTTGATCAATACAGACATTTGCCAAAAGCCTGGCTACGGAGAGCAGGGCACAAAGACCACACATTTGCAACTGTAAGCCTCTGGCTTTCTTCCTGTCCACATGCCCTGAGCCCTGTTTTGTTGGTACCATGGTGCTGGGCCAAGGTATCAACCTCTTTAGCACCAGAATGAAGCGTGGAGACCGGCACATAACAAGTACCCACATTTCTGCGTTGATCAGACTTTGGGAAAATCACCTCACTTCTCGGATTCTACAGATGTATGCCATAAACTAGTGTTTCTCTCCAATGTCCCACATGGGGAGATGTTGGAAGGAGCAGCATAAATCTTGAAGTCCTTTGGGATAACAACCTAACAAGCAGTGTCTTAAGAGCTGTGGAGATATCCCCACCCTCCCACCCAATCATAGCATCTCTGTGATGTTATTCTAAGGACACACTTCAAAAGATGAGAACTGCGTTCCTTCCTGAATGGAGTAAACTTGCTGTGGACGCCAGGGCCTGGGGAGGGGTCACTTGGCAGAGTACTCACAGTCTGTGCTGTCAGCAGCCTCTCACTTCCCCTGTTCCCTCTCCACTCCAGATGGCCCCGGAGATCCCTGGCTTCCTCCCTCTGCTTCCTCAGATAATCCAGCTCTCCACAACTCCTTCTGCAATGCTGTCCCTCCCTGATTCCCGGATTCTCAGCTGCACAAAGAGCTCTGCGTTCCTCCCTGCCTGCTCCTCAGAAGGTGGCAAAAATGGCTATTCCAGGTGCAACATTTTTCTTCACCTATACTGTGGAATATCAGACAGCGGTTAGGACAAGAGCAAGTTACATCTGTGCACACTGAATGAAAAAGAATGTCCATGATTTATCATGAAAGTTTTAAGGACACAGTTTTTTCTTTTTGGTACTGGGAATCAAACTCAAGGCCTTGCGCTTGCCAGGCAAGTGCTTGTGTCGCTGAGCTATGTCTCTGGCCATTATCATAAAAGTTTTAAAACTCTCAACCATGAGGCAGGGCAGTACAGCAAGCACCATCCCCATAGATCCACGAGGTCTGGTGGGCTTTGGGCCAGACAGGCAGCCATGGTTGAGTCCTGTAGCAAGGAGAAGGGATTGTGAAGGAGAATGGTTATATTTTACTCTATATAACTGTGTTATTTGAATTGTTTTAACAGTAAAAGTATATTAATTGTGCAATTAAAAAAGAGATGCAGAATTGCAGCTGGAGGAAGTCGACCAAGGAATGCCAAATTCCCAGCTTCCCGAAGAGGTAAAGCTTAACCCTGTGCTGGTTTGCTGGTCGCCAGCCGCTTGCTCACTCCACCCAAGTGGAGGTTCAACGCTCTTGCATTCAACACTGGGGCATCACGAGGGGGTGGCCGCCTTCTCCTCGCTGGATGCTGTGGCCTTTTCAAACCCCTGCCTGCTCCCTAGTGGTTCCTTCTTCAGCCTGAGCCATGCCAGACACTCCGCATTCACCAGAATCACAGCTCCTCCTCTCAAGCGGAGAGGGAGGGGACGCCGAGCGGCTGCTGTCCTTCTGCACCGTCCTCGGGCTTCGCCAAACCACAGCCGGTGACTCTGAATGAAAACAGGGAAGTCCTAGCCTCTGTTCTACCCTGTGGTCCTCACTCCCTTCCCTGCTGCCCAGCATGCCTCAACCCATCGAAAGCAACAAGGACATGTCAGCTGTGGCTTCAACCACTGGCGCACAGCCAAAGAAGCAAGAGCTGCGAACATCCTCCCTCATCAGACAAGAATTTCCCTCCTGCAGGAGGAAAAGTCCTGGCATTGTCACTGGGCAGCGCTGGTCCTTGTCCACAGTAGGTATAAATCATATCATGGACTACCTGAGAGTATTACACAGCGCCAATATATTCCAACCTCCTCTAATGTGCCTTTCTGCTCTGCAGAAGCTGATAAAAGAAAACCATATTATCCAGACTCTTCCCGACAGGCGACACTCTAGACAGGATTAGGTTCGGCCAGTAACATGCAGTAAAGCATGACACAGAGGACAGAGGGCGCAGCTTCCGCCCCCTTGATGTTTCTGCAAGCAGCTCTGCTGCAGAAGTGCTTGCTTTTTCTGCAGCCAGTAGCTGTGGTCCCTGGGCTCAGACGCTGGCATTCGGTGTCCAGAGAAAGGCTGGACATCTTTTGTGGTTACACTGTGGAGAGGTGGCATAGTTCTCTGGCAGCAGCTGTGCAAATTGACAGGTGGTTTCCTGGGAGTAGAAAGTGTTCTGGCCTTTGAGAACTCCATCTGGACTCAAGTCGGGGGACTCAGAGCCTATGGACAGATTTCCTCCATGTCCACTCCTCCTGGCCACCCCAAAATCTTAAGCGGGTGGGGCTCAGCTCCGTGAGCACGCACAGGTGGTCTGACTTTGGAAGTGCTGGGGTTTTAGAGCTTCAGCTGCAACTGAGAGTTAAACAGTTCCATTTCTACAACTCCTCCAAATTAAAGCCACAAAATGCCAAAAAAGATAATTCCAGCCCACTGTACTCTTTCATGCATCTCCCCACTAACCCCATCCACGCACTCACCTGCAGTGCTGTCAACCAACCAAATGGAGGGTCATTGGTTAACTGAAGAGATAAATACAGGGGTTTGAGAAAGTTCACAGGCTCGGTGGTTTGCTTTATGATATTTGTAATTTCTGGGCCAAGCTGTACAGGTTAGAACGAGAAGTGGAGACACAGATTAAGAATGGGGTTTTTATTGCTCTTGCCTTACATCTTTAAGGCATCAATGTCACATGCCAGCTGCCAGGGGGCTCTCTCCGGCACACATACTCCTTCCTGGACACTCTTCAGAACCCACTCTCCCCACATTCTCCTGATAAATATTTACAGTTTAAGAGACGGCAGGCTGGACAGCACGCAACAGCCGGGGATCCCACCCATGGCGGTTTTCGCTCGGTGTCAGCCTGGCTTGTAAACGTCTCCGGGTGTAGGGCAGGGTGTCCTGGGGAAGAAGCCATAAACATATCCTGCCTGGCTGAGGCCCTAATGAACAGAATCTTAAACCCAGATACCAAGCCTGTGTTTGCAATATGGCCCGTGAGTTTTATTTAGCTCTCTGAGGGACTCAAGCTCAATAGAAGACTAGCATGAGGATAGGATAGATTTGACTTTTGAAAGATGACTCTTTTCTTTTTTGCACGTAAGTAGAGAAACAGTGTCCAGATAGTCCCCTCCCTGAAAAGATCCCCTCCTGCAGCTTCCAGAGATTTTCTAGGCCCTAGACTCCTTTGAGGATATGCTTAAAGTTCTGGGTACTCTCCCAAGACAAATGCACAAAATAACACTTGTATGGGAAACATTCGAGACGGAAGGATGAATTGGAGACAGGACTCTGCCTTCCAGGAATTGATAGGCTTGCAGAGCAGGTAAACAACACACATGTAAGTAGAGATGGGAAGATGACCAGCACTTGAAGCTTTGGGGAGCTTGAATATTTGCAGAGTTTAGGGAGACAGTGATCAAGTTATAAGGTAAGAGCTAAGCAGAGCACAAAGGAACCAGTCCTAAATGCCTTCTTTCATACTCTAGGTGTCTGCTGAAGGTCTATGCTCCTTGATACCCAAGTTAGATGGCCCTTGACTTTCTGAATCCCATGGGCCGAGAAATCAAACACCCTCTCCAGTATTTCTGCTGGTTCCTCGGGAGGATGCACAGTTCTTTGTCTCTTCTAGCTCTCTGAACTCTGGCTTCCTCTCACACCATGGCTGTCACTTTACTGTTTTCCTGAACATAAAATTTAGTCATTCCTTTGGATTCAATGATTTTTTTAGAAAAGATGGATCGCACCAAGCATTTACCCAGGCTTTGTGGAAAATATAGGGTGGACAGTGGGGGTCCTGGAAATAATAGTACAATATAGCACCTGACTTTCTGCCATTCACTCAGTCTTTCTGCCTTCTCTCTTTTTTCTCTTTTTCAGGAGCAACTCAGACAGTTCCTGAAGTCTTGGGGTGATCTGACACCTAGGCCTAGGGTAAGAATGGGGTTGGGGTACTGGCAGGGGATACCCTCTCTCTAAGCACTTAGCAGCACATCCTTCCAAAACACACACACAGTGATTCTTCTAAGAGGAATCCAGCAATAAAATTCTCCATCCTACTTGGGTTGGTTAGTTGAAAAGAAAAAAATATCCACTCTGGCTAGATGCAATGAGAGTGGATTTATGACAGGGTATTAAGTGTCTTACAGAACCACAAGGAGGGATTTAGAAAAGAGTTTAGGTTGAGTTTTTGGCAAGGCTCCCCAAAGGAGACCTGGGCCACCAAAGGAGTTGCAGGCTGCCTCTGACTAGGAAGCTGCTTGCTCTAGGACCAAGACTAATTCTGCCCCCAGCCCCCCAGCAAAACAGATGACCCCAATCACTCCACATCCACTAGGCTAGTGACAGGAGTCCAGGTTGTCTGCCTCTGCTCCCAAAGAAAACTCAGTCCCTTTACTGCAAGGCCAGCACAAAGAGTTAGAGTAGCTGATGATCTTTGCTAACAATGGTCCAGATCTCCCACAGTGCATCTGAATCTCCTCTGGAGTCCCAGACACACGGAAGTCTGGGAAATGTAGTTTTTAACTTTCCAGCCTTTATGGTTCGGACAGTGCAGTAGGTTGAACAAGAGTCTACTGTGGCTGTGTAAACCATACCATTTCATTTTGAACGGGAGAATGAAGGTAAGAGCTAGAGAGAGGGAGCTTACTTTTATCAGTCACCTACTAAATATTAGGTAATTTATCACTATTACTTATTTAACTCCCATTACACATGTCAAGTAGGTATTATGGCCATATTAAAGGTGTGAGAACTGAGGCTTACAGCAGCCATTTTATTTGCTCCAAGTCACATCAGGATGGATGGATCCTTGGACAAGAGGGAGAACCCTCACTCCAACCTCCCAGAGAAGTTGAGGACACATCAAACGTTCCTCAGAGCCTGCACTTCGAGGTCCTCTCTGCACAAGCTCCTCCTCTTTTGACCCTGATCATCTCAGGAACCACCCCATCTGCTGGCTTCTGCGTGGGTGTCCTCTGCAGGGCTGACATGTTCGCTGCCACCCTTCTGGAGGCACACAGCCTGCTTCTCAGAGGACCTCCTTCAGGGAGCCTCGTATTGCTTCCTCCAACATCACCAGCTCTGGAACATGAGTGTACAACATGAATCCAAGCCCGACCTCAGCCTCTGGATAGTTACCCTGGCGACCTCATCATTGTCCCTTGTTTATCGGCCATGGGAGTGTTGACTTTACTCTTTCAAGTGGTAGCTTTGGGTCTGAAGTCTGTTTGGTTGTCAGTCACCAGCTACGCTGTACATGTGACTGATCTCTGAGTTCCAACCTCAGAGCCCACTTGCAGTTTCTCACGGCATTCAGACTTGCCCTCTTAGGTTTGTGTGGATCTCCCAGTGGCACCAGAACATGGCTCAGCTCGTTCTGCTTCCCACAACCCACTCTCAAGGTGCAAAGAAAAAGAAAATGGTCTAATATAGAATATGAGCATAGTGATTTTTTTTTTTTTTTTTTTTTTTGAGACAGGGTCTCGCTCTTCAGTTCAGGCTGGCCTTGAGCTCACTTTGTAGCCCAGGCTGGTCTCAAACTCGCAAGGATCCTCCGACCTCAGCCTCCCGAGTGCTGGGATTACAAGTGTGCTGGGATTCCCCGCCCAGGTTAGCATAGCAATTTTTATCAGAAGGGGACTTTAGAATGCCTCTGAACCTGCCAGGCATTATGTGTTTTAATGTAGTGTGATAACAGCTACCCCTTTGGGAATGCCAGCACTGAGGTGCTGTATTTTTGGTTTTCGGTTTGATCTACACAAAGATCCTAGGAGACTGTTCTCCTTTTTAAGGATGAAATTCAAGCCTTGATGGGTTACTGACTTGTCTGAGGTCACGGAGTTAGTACATCACAGCGCTGAGACCCGAATCCGTCTGGGTGGATCAGATCCTGGATGCCCAGCTGCTATGCTCCATTGCCTCCCTGGCAGAAGCTGACTTTCCAAGGTTGTTTTTGCTTCTCCTTCCTGCCTAGGTCAGAATCTGGTGTAAGAAGTTCTCTTGTCTCCCTATTTCCTCTACCACTGTCAGGAAGAAAGTTAGGTAAACAAACGAGGATACCTTCTCTCTTTCCTTTTTACTGTCCCTTCTCCAGGAAGGTCACCCAGACAGAATCTCACACAGGAGGCAATCACTGGTGAGATAGATGGCATTCTACCCTGGAAAAGCAACCCTAAGATTTAGACTCAAAGAGCCCTGGGTTGGAAGCTGAACTCCATTGCACTGTATCTGAGCGGGTAACTCTTTCTCGGAGCTTTATTCATTATCTGTAAAGTGGGGTAAGTGACGTTCACTTCAAGTGGTTAGAAGGAATAAATGAGCGAGTGTATATGCATGCATACATATATATATAGAGATATATAGATAGATAGATTGATACATATACATATGGGGTCAGTCAGTTTCCTGCCCTTATTTAATTCAGAAACCTTGGCCTGAATCTCATCTCAGCCCCTGCAAGAAACAAGATCCATTTAGAGATGTATTGCTCAACAGATCTGAATTGTTTCATCTTCCTTATAAGACAGAAAGGCTAGAGTTTGTCTTGGTTGAAAGAGCCATCTTCCTCCTCTCTGTCATATACATAAAGCCCTGAGGACCATGCCAGGTGCATCGTGGTCACATTGAGGACCAAGAGGCCAAAGGAGGGGAGGAAGGAACAGCCTCCTCACTAAAGCAGCGGCTGGATCCATCCCAGCCTTCCCAGGAATTCTGGAGGGAGATGAGCCACTCTGAGGTTTCCAGATATAAGAAACAGATAATCGGACTTGAATGTGTCAAGCAATTGTGAAGATTTCTTGATTGACAGAATCTGAAGTCTAGAGGGAATGTAGGCTTCTGTCATGGGCTGTTCAGGGGCTCCTCTTGGGGGGCTCAAACTCTGTCTCTCGGTCTTGCGGCTGCAGCTCTCCATCCAGCTTCTCCAAGCCAGTCTTCTCTCGGCATAGCAGGATGCTGTGGATAGCTTCCAGGGCCCCCTCCTTCCTCACCCACACCTAATGGTCAGTGTGACTGGATGGCTGCTCCTAAAACAATGGCAGTGGCCACGGGAGTGCCAAGGACTGCTCTGATGGCCTCAGGCCAGCGGGAACCTCTGCTGGAAACCAAGAGTTGACTTAATCCGAGACCTAAGTCACAAGGCTGCCATGCACAGCAGTGGGGAGGGAATGGGGGTCTGGAACGGTTGCTCGCCCTGTCCAAAGACCTTTCGTCGGTGTTGGTGTACTGTATCGTGTGTGTCCCTGCGTATGCCTGTGTGCCAGCGGGTGTGTTTGCTTGTGTGTATTGTGCGCATGAAGTGTGTCATGTGCCTGTGTGAGCACGTGCGTATGTGTATGTAAACCGTGTGTGGTTGTGTGTTTATGTGAAGTGTGCATATACTAGTTGAGAAGACCCTATGCCTGGCAAAATGTGGCCTCTGTGTACGTTGGTGTCCTACGAAGAGCAAGACAAAGGTCACCTCCTTTTCTAGGCAGGACTCACCCCTCTCCCACAGAATCCTGGTCCTGCACGGCCCTCTGCTGCCCTCTGCTGGGCTATTGCCTACACTGCCTGGGCTCACCAGCCTCCGCGGGTCACAGCTTTTGGCCCACACACCCACCATCCCCTGGATCTGGGGACAGGAACGTGGCTCATCCGTATTCACCCACCCATCAGTACGCATTACGCTGGGACCTGTCAACAGTGTTTCACTCCTGAGTCCCATGTCCTCAATTGTTTTTCGTCTCCTGCCTCAATTTTAAGGGGAGAAAAGGGTTAAAACTACTTTACAGAGTCATGGTGGGATTAAAAGGGCTTATTCTCCCACGAGTCATATGTTTACTGTGTGCCTGCTGTTTGCTAGACACTGTGTTGGAACCAAGGATACAAAAAGAGTCAAGAAGAAACAATCCCCGCATTAATGGAGCTTCCTGCCCTGTGCAATCGTAGTCATGAGTCACGAAGGAAATAAAACACTGGGGAGGACTTTGACAAGGCCAAGCCACTGGCATGATAAGGGACAACTTGAGGATGAAGATGAGTCACCCGCAGGGGACAGAGGTCTGGGGTGGTCTTCCACGGAAAGAAGCCAGAAGGAAAGGACCAAAGGAGAAGACCAAGGCTTGCAGTCTGGAGGGCAGAGGCAGGGGAGCGGACCTGAGGCAAAGGAGCAGAGAAGCCACCACAGGGCTGAGGAGAGGGGCAGGAAGATGGGGTCCTCCTGTCTTCCTGCTGCGCCTCCCCCCGCCGGCCCAGTCCCTTCCACCTGTCTCTCACTGCTGGTGTTTCTCGGGATCCGTCCTGGGTTCTGCTGCCCACACCCGCTCCCTCCTCAGTTCTCTCATCCACTGCTATAACTCTAAATAAGATTCACACACAGCTTGGTATCTCCACCTACACCCCCTTCAGCTCCAAATCTGCATTTTAGATACCTGCTATTTGCTTTCTGCTTCGTGATTTTTCAAGCATCTCAACCATAATGACGTCACCATTATGCTCCTGATATAACTCCAGCCCCCTCGCCTCACTCCCAAATCTCCTTCTCCTCAAAGACTTTCCCAGCTCAGTAAATAGAAGAATATAAATAAGCCTGAATATGCTATTTTTTAAAAGTCCCTCAACCCTCCCAAACCCCTGCCATTTTTCTATTTTAAAGTGTTTCTATAAATAAGATGGTAAATTCAAATTATCCAGAAAGGTATCAAAGGGAGGACGGCTGGGAATGGGCCATGATTTCCTCTTGTTGATTTTACCTCACGGACGGGTCTTGACTGTCCATTCCTCCCCTTCCCACCGGCCTGCGCACTGCCCCAGCCTCCGAACTGGCCTCCCTGCAGCATGTCTCCTGCTCTCACCTGGCCTCCATGTGACACTTTCTACCCTGGGGAGCTGCAGCGTGTCACTTCCCTACTTCAGATTCATGAACTGCCTCCCTTTGAACTGGAAACAAAACCGAGCTCTCCTTAATGGGTCCACAAGGTCCTACTTGATCTATTTTTCAACCCCATTTCCTGTGTTGTTCTCATCCCTGTTTAGTGAGTTCACCACATTGGTCTCTTTAAAGTTCCTTAAAATGGACCTAGGTGTTTTCTGCCGCCCAAGCTTCACCCGGAATGCTCCTGTCTCATCTGCACAAAGCTGGTGACTTCTGGCTCTGCAAACATCAGCCTAACCGTAGCCCAGTCAGCAAGATCTCCTCTGTTCACGCTACCCCGAGTCTGTCCTGGTACTGAAACTGATTTGGAAATGCCCATCAATAAAGATGTAAGAGAAGAAAGTGATGGAACCAAAGAAAAATAGAAATAGACACAAATCCACAGAGAACTGCATGCGCGGTAAAAGTGAGGCTTCAAGTCTTGTGAGGGAAAGGAGGATTAGTAAATAGTGAAGGCACAGCTGGTCAGTGCCTACTAAGACAACAGCACGATGGAGTTTCTCTCCCACTCCTTACCACCAGGGTAATTCTGAATGAATCAAATATTCAAGCGTAAAAAATAAATCATAGCCGGGCATAGCGGCTCACCTGTAATCCCAGCACTTGGAAGGCTGAGGCAGGAGGATCGTTGCAAGTTCGAGACCAGCCTGGGCTACAAAGTGAGCTCACGGCCAGCCTGAACTGCAGAGTGAAACCCTGTTTCCAAAAAAAAAGAAAGAAAAAGGCAGCCGGGTGTGATGTTGCACGCCTGTAATCCCAGCACTCAGGAAGCCGAGGCAGGAGAATTGTTGCAAGTTTGAGACCAGCCTGGGCTACAAAGTAAGCTCGTGGCCAGCCTGAGCTGCATAGTGAGACCGTGTCTCAAAAAGACAAAAAAAAGAGAAAAGAAAAAAACAGGAAAAAAAATCACAAAATGTCTTTAAAATGTGTGTTAGTTGATTACCAATCTAAATGAAGGCTTTTCTGAGATGACTATAAAAGCCAGAAGCCTTTAAAAAAAGAATTAATAAACATATATAGCAATCTAACTTGTCATATAAAAGAAGAAAAGGAAAATATTGAATTAAAAGACTAGCTTCAGGGGCGGGGGATATAGCACAATGGCACAGCACCTGCCTGGCAAGCACAAGGTCCTGAGTTTGATTTCTGGTACCAAAAAGTAAAAAATTTATTGAAAAGACTAGCTTTAAAGATGGGGAAAACATTTACAACCCATTTATCAGAGTTCTTTTTCTTAATGAAACTGATAGAAATGAATATTAAAAAGAGCCCAATATAAAACTGTGCCAAGAATAGATATGTCTTATAGAAAAACAAATTTG